CAAAATTTTCTTGAGTAAAAAGTCATGCCGCGTATGGAACTCCATCTCCAAAATGTTAAGAAACTGTTTTCGCCACAAAGTTTGCAGCCACAAGACGGCGGTGTCCTTTCTCTTAGATGAAATGAAACTTTTTATTGAACTTTGTTATGTTTTCATTGTTTTTATTTCAAACAAGTAACATAAACATATATATACATAAATACAAGTTCTCAATCAGGTGTTGACTTTCTGCTTGCCTCCGGAACACGGTTCATAAACACACCCTCTCTGTGTCCAGTCTCTCTGCGCATGCGCGCTCTTTCCTTGGCTGGCTATCGGTACGGGCCAGTCCGCTAGTCCACCATAACACTTCCCCGAACAATTACAAGTCCAGCACCATTGGTGCTCGACGTTGTCTTTGAGATCTTCTGGGTATGACATAGTCTGAAGGTCCTGGATGTCGAGGGTTAATCTTCCTCTTAGGTGGACTTGGAGTTGCTGGATGTGTAGACGGTTGATGACTCAGGGCTGCCTGAGCTGTTGGATAAAGACTACCTGTCATTATATCCAAACCTGGTTCTGAATCTTCTTCTGCTCCATTACCTGGGGCGAAGTTGGTCTAAATGTCTCTTCCAAATGGGACCATTTGGATAAATCTTTACCTTGAAAAGACGTGGACCCATAACTTGGATGATTGTACCGGGAGCCCATCGTGGTTTAGAATCTGTTGCTGTTCCATATACTCTGACGTAACATGGATCTCCCCGGTTAAACGATTGACTAGGACTTCTTTTTGTCCCATTGCGGATGGCTATTTCTTTAAGATGTTGTCCCTGTGCTCGATGAGCCGGTGAGGGAACTAGCGTATCAATAAGTGTTCTTATTTGCCGGTTGTTCAGCAGTTGGCTTGGTGATAATCCACTTGCCAATGGTGTCCTACGATACTGACGCAGAAAGTCTTGCAGAGATTCCTTTAAAGGTAATGAAGATTTCTTCAGTGAACTCTTGAAACTTTGAATCAGTCGTTCGGCAGCTCCATTCATAGCAGGATGATAGGGAGCTCCTGCAAGATGTACAATACCCCTCTCCTTACACCAATGCTGAAATTCTTCTGAGATGAAGCACGTTGCATTGTCACTGCCTAATGGTGTGTTGATAGCCGAAATGAGCAAAATCTTCCTCCAGAAGATCAATGGTGGCTTTGGTCGATGCAGATGTTGTCCTGTGGATACACGGGTACTTTGAATAGGCATCTATCCCCACCAGCCAATGTGATCCCTTAAAGTTAATGGCATGGTCGATATGCACTCGACTCCATGGTTTTTCTGGCAGCATCCATGGGTGGATACTTTCTTTGTTTGGGTCTCTGGCGTGTTCTGCACATGCTTGGCATGTTCGACCTATCTCCATGATTTGAGTATCTGCATTGCAATGTTCAGTTGATTTATGGATTGGTTCATGTGCTTTAATCAATGAGTTTTGATTAGCAATGTGATTTGTCGTTTGAAACAGTGCGTCATTTGAAATCTTGAGGTTCTTTATTGCAGTTCTGCCCAACAAGTTTAAGCTGTGGTTTTTCACTACTACAAATGATAGATTTGTAGTTATTTCCCCTGCTTCAGCCTGCATCTGCATACTTCCCAAAACATTAAGTAGATCACCAGACGCTGACTTGTACTTGACCGATACTGGGCTCAATCTGGGTTGTCCCAGCTTTTGCCAAACAGATTCAGACATAAAATTTTCTCTGGCTCCAGTGTCAATTTCAAATGCAAACCTCTTTCCTTCTAAAAAGAGTTCTTGAATAAGGGGCGGGATAGCTTTTATTTGGTTTTGCCTTCTTATTCTTTTTAGATGAATCGGTTTCTGTTTTGGAGCATTCTCTTTCTTATTTAGATAAACTCTTTCTAGATGTCCTCTCTTGTGGCAAAAGCGGCAGATCATGTTTTTGTACCTGCAGACATTTCCTTTATGGCCTCTTACTCCACACCTGCCACAAGTTCCACTCGGAAAATCCTGTCTTTGAGATGGAGAAAATTTCTCAGCTGTCTGATGTTGCTTCTTTCTTTGTGACTGAATTTTATTGATAGGTGTTTCTTCATGGACTGTTTCTTTGGCACATTTCGCTGCCTCCTCAGTTTCAACAGCTATTTCTACTGCCTTGTTGAATGACAGTTCGGTGTCCTTCATCCGAAACAAAATTTTCAATACGGCCTCATTCTTTACAGAGCAGATGAATCTTGTTCGTATAGCTTCATCTAGAGGATTTTTGATATTACTAAACTCACAAGTCGCTGCATCCTGTCTGATCCTAGCTGCCGTTTCTTTGATTGTTCCCCCCCCCCCGTTTTCTACTAGAAATAGACCAAAATTTGAAACTTTCTCTGATTACAAATTTGGTGGGGTCAAATTGATCCATCATTATTCTATATATTTTTTCTATGTTCAAGTCATTTAAATTTTGTGGTGGTTCTTTTTGTTGTACGATGGTTGATAACATATTATGATTTATGCAGCTCTGGTGTCTGGCTTGTTAAAAAAAATTTGTGCCTGCCTTTCCTTTGGCACATTATTTGCCATCATGAAGGTCACATATCTAGCGTAGTAGTCTGTGAACGTCTCCTCGTTACTATTGAAATGTGTAAACTTCATATTAGTAGCCGTATTACCTGTTGCTAGTTTCAAAAGTAGCTCGTTCTGTTGTATGAGCTTCTGGATGTCAGCTTGGGTCAGAGTTGACTCCATTGTGTCTTTACTTCCTCCGTCCCGTGAACTCACTCGTGCGTATCAAACTATCACTCCGTTGTACTGAGTTTTGTATTGAGTTAATACTGACCATCATACTGTTTTGTTGATGCAGGTCCATACCACACTGTTATGTTTATACTGACCACCATTTTGTTATGTTTTCATTGTTTTTATTTCAAACAAGTAACATAAACATATATATACATAAATACAAGTTCTCAATCAGGTGTTGACTTTCTGCTTGCCTCCGGAACACGGTTCATAAAAACACCCTCTCTGTGTCCAGTCTCTCTGCGCATGCGCGCTCTTTCCTTGGCTGGCTATCGGTACGGGCCAGTCCGCTAGTCCACCATAACAAACCTTAACTTACCAACTGGATTTGACGGAGCTGGTCTTTGCGATGCTAGCTGGCGTTTAAACGAATATGAATGTATTATCCTGGTGTCGATACACTTGACCACACCACCACCTTATGTCAGTGGTTCCGAAACTTTGTGCCGCAGCAGTGGCGTAGCTACGGGAGGGGGAAGGGGTCCAAATTCGAAAGTAACCCCAGGCTCCTACTTTAGGGGGGCCCCCAAAGGAGTGTCCGAATTTTTTTAAAAATTAAATAATGTCGAATGTAAAAATGCAGGGGCCCCTAAAGAGGCCAAGCCCCCACCCCCGGCCCTCAAATCCCTAACTACGCCACTGGTCATAAGTTTGTTTTTACCTTCCCTCCGATGTGTACTTGTTGGTATTTGTCAAAAGGCGCCTCGAGAAAAGTTGATTTTGACAAGGACAGAAGAATAAAATTGTTTTTGGAACGACTGTCCTACTTACACGCCAAAATCTAGTAAAATAAATATTTATATTTACAATATTATATCCTTTAATCTCAGTCTCGGCTGCATTCAGTCGAACCTTGACTCCTGGTTAAAATTTGTCCTCCTTAATGGCTATTTTTATTGCAAGGGCTTTGTTTCGAGCATCTTTTGCCTCTTTGAATCTTCATAACTTACTATTTTCCATCTGGAACGGTGCTCAGCGACGAGCTCCCGTCCATTTATCGTTATGCTGGCTGCCCTCGTCTTCCTTTTCCAAAAGTTCCTTAAATGTCAGCCACCGTCATCCAGTAAGTCTTGCCCCTTCTGCAAACTTTCCATACATAAGATCCTTTGGCTTTGGAATATGACCTTCCTATTTTAAGTAAATTGATCAACCTGGGACGACGTCTCTTGCTTAGAGCGAATATGCTACACATTTTGGCACACCAAAACCTCTGATGAGGCACTTGGTCAGGCCACCAAATTCGCAAAGTGCAGACATCTTTAATGGAAGGTGTTGAGTTTACGCTCATGATTTGCATATGTGATCCACACTTCATTGCCACTGCGTACTGGGCACACAAGCCTGATGGACACGCAGTTTTGTAACTTCAGTTAGTTTAGGATTATTTCACACCAGCCTATTCGATTTAGCCATAGTTGCTGCTGCTTTTGCGATTCCGATGTTCACATCTTGGTCAACGGAGAGTAAACTAGAGATATTGGACCTAAAGTGTGTTAAATTTTCAACTAATGATAGATAATGGCCTCCAACAGCGTTGTTTGGAGGGGACTGTGCCTCTTACATCATGACATTTTTTTTGGGGGGGGGGGGTATTTTAATATAAATAGCCTATAAATATTTATTTTTTTATGTATTTATTTTTTTAGGCTTTTTTTTATAGCGCTTATTTTAAAGCTTTAAGCACTTTACAATTATTAAAAAAATGTAAACAAAGTAAAATTAATGATAGATAATGGCCTCCAACAGTGTTGTTTGGAGGGGACTGTGCCTCTTAAATTATGATATTTTTTTTGGGGGGGGGGGTATTTTAATATAAATAGCCTATAAATATTTATTTATTTATGTATTTATTTATTTAGGCATTTTTATATAGCGCTTATCTTAAAGCTCTAAGCACTTTACAATTATTAAAAACATGTAAACTAAGTAAAATAAAAATGAGACACTAGGATAGTAACTACTACTATACTATAGAAACAATTAAAATCATATATATCATATAGCCCTATATAAAACATAAAATGTGCTGATATTCCCTTTGAGAGAAGATAAGAATAAAAAGAAGTAAGGAAATGTTCATTATTTTTATTAAATACAGACTGATCTAGATTTGTAATAAATGAACCATCCCGTGTCAAAGCGCGCATTTTTCCTGATCTTTTAAAGTCTTGGAAATAGATTTTAATGATATTGTTGGGAAGTATCCGTGCGAATAGAATATTAGTCTTATTTTGACGCCCACTTCGCTAAGTAATGACAGTATGATTGTTATTGATAGTTGACCACTAGTCCAGGTTAGAGATCATCCTCAGAAATACTTAATTCAAGTTCAAATCAAAGGTGCAGTTGAAAAATCGTAACTCTTCTTTACAATTCTGGCTTACTTACTACTATAAAAAAATAAAAAATACTATATTACTAAGCGTCAGAATACTTAAAGAATCCTTTCTTATTCATATCACTTGGTTCCAAAAAAAAAATCGCAATTAATTGAGCAAGAAATTTGAAGGAAAAAAAAAATTGGAGATGGATAGGATAGACCGTAGCATGATGAAAAAACCAATGTCAAATATAACAAGACAGGGACTGGTATGGAATCCTCAAGGCTCAAGGATAAAAAAAATACAGGGAAGCCCCAAAACAGCTGTCAAGTTTGTAACTGTAACTGTAATAAAGATGAGAAATGAGAAGGAGTTTGAAATGAGAAATGGTAATAAGCAAGAGGATAAAAGTACCTCCCCAGCCCTGAGATGTGGAAGACCAGGAAATTATATTTGCTGCCATTGCTAATGCTAGTTGCTGGTTTTTATAAAACAAATTAAAAATTATTTTTTAAGTAAGCATTTTGATTAGCAACAGTAAATGTTTTTCTGGTGAATTTTGTTAGCGCATTCATTGCTTGTATTGGTAATTTTGGCCCTGCCCTAAAAGTATTTACTAAGATCCCCCCGTCAACCATTTTTTCCTGTTCCATCCCACTTCACGTGGTAGTCCTAATTCTATGGCTCACGTCTCCACATTTTGACATAAGTTATCTCGACTGTCAATGTCACTGCACCCATTCTCTCCTCATCCGTGGTGGCCTGTAACTTGATCAGAGGACATTTTTGGGACCTCACATATCTATACTGATTGTCTCAGTGTCCGTAGTTTAAGAATAAAATAATTATTATTGTTGTATCAATGAATAATGCTAAAAATGTCTGAATTTTGGGTTAATTAGTGAATTTTTTTATTCTAACATTCTGCTTTTTATCTGACGTCACATTGCTCAAGCCCCCCCCCCCCCTTCAAGACGTATAACATCTTTTATGGATTGCCCCTATGCTCCCTAGGGAGTTGTAATGGCAAAGAAGAAGTCAAGTTTTATCCTAATGAACTTAGTCTTAAAATTAAATTAATTAAAACTTATGAATAATGCTAAAAATGTCTGAATTTTGGGTTAATTAGTGAATTTTTTTATTCTAACATTCTGCTTTTTATCTGACGTCACATTGCTCAAGCCCCCCCCCCCCCTTCAAGACGTATAACATCATTTATGGATTGCCCCTATGCTCCATAGGGAGTTGTAATGGCAAAGAAGAAGTCAAGGTTGATCCTAATGCACTTAGTCTTAAAATTAAGTTAATAAAAACTATGATTAATGTAACATTTAAATTTAAAGACATGTTACAGTTGTCTTTTGATTTTTAATTTTTATAAGGCCTGCAATAACCTACACTGCCTGCCACTTAGAGCACCAATGCTGATATTTTCCACTGATAAAGGACTATTTTAGCTTGTAGCCTGTGTGACATTTGTAACAATGATAATGTCCTTGTTTTACTTCTTATTAGAATTATTTTTGGCTATCGGTAATAAGTATATGCTTTTTGTAATATTATTTATTATATGGCAACTATTGCAACAGAAGTTCCTTTACATAAAAATAGAATTAGAAAAGCAAAATCATGACTGAAATCGAAAACTACAAAATAATAAAAACAGATTTACAATCTATTTAATCTTTAAAGCTATAGGGTACTCTATTTTTTGGGACCTAGAACTCAAATCTGCTCATTTTGTGCATACAATGCGCTATTACAAATAATCTTTTGTTTTTTTTCCATTAAAAATATAGATACTAAGACTTAATAATAATATAGAAATATTTTTAAACCTTTCCCTTCAAATATTTATTTTCACCAGATAAAAATGACTTCCTATTAAAAGCTGCTCTCAACTACAACTAACTTCGTACTACTATGGATTCAGATGGATTGCCATTGGTGGGGCCAGGGATTGATTACACCAAGGTAATCATGAACTTAATTTAATTGTAAATTGTAGTTTAATATTTTTTTGAACAAGCTAACATTGGCAGTAGAGCTCTTGAAAATGGAAAAAATGTTAACTAAATGGAATTCATTCTTTCTGACTAGATGAATCACAGGGCACAGAGTAAAAAACCTACACAATTATTCCATGAATCCTGGTTTTACCCTAATTATATGTATATTTTATTACTTTTACATTACAAGTGTTCATGCGCATAAAGTTAATATCATTTAATTTATGATGATGTTAATCAACTACCAGTAAATTCTTGACAGAATAAACTTATGTTTTGGAACATAAAATGAAGCTCTCGTATCCTTTCCCTTTATTGCCTTTTTAAGAATTACACTCTAAAGTAATGACAATGAAAATAATTTTTAAAATGTTAATAGAGCTGTATATTTAATTATTTTTTTTCTTGAACCACATGACTGATGGGCTTACTTCATTACATAGCTTATGAGTTTAAATTGTCTTCACAGGTTGAAGCTATTAACCAAAAAAGAACCATAGCCTTTATCAACCACTTCATTGCACACACAGCTCGATTTCTAAACCATTTTGGAAATGTCTGTGAGGATAAACTGGAGCTTCTTCATGGTAGACTGCAGCAACTGGAGATTTCACTGAGCATGCTAGAAGCAAAGGTAAATTGATGGTTTATGTGAGTCCTAAAGCAGGGTTGCTTATCAGTTGACATCCTGATGGTAAAGCAGTTTTTCACAAGAGTTGACATCATGACGAGTAGGATCTAGTAGTTAACTGCAAAGATTTTTTTTTTTTTCAAATAGAACCTCTACCAGTATGCAAAGATTTTATGGATACTAAAATGAATTCACTGACGCTAAAGTTTGTTCACTCAACTATTCATTTTGATCCTAGAAATACAGGATTAACAGTATCCTGAAAGACAGGATACCATATACATTTTTCTGCCTGTTTTGTGACTTAAGCTATGACCCTAAGGCAGTTGGGACAAACGTGTGGCATTCAGCGGCAAGTGCATCACCATCGCTCCAGACCCTCCATAGTGGTATAATTCCAGTGTTGGCACTTTGGGCTTTGGGATAAATAAGTGGATTTTTTATTTCAGTTTAGGCACTCTGTCTCTAAAAGTTTTGCCATCACTGCACTAGAGAGACACAATCAAAACTTTTCATATATTTATAGTGCCCTTCATTCACATCTTTGCTTGGACAGGAGACAGGACAGCACAGGATTAGCCATGTTTATTCTGTGATGAATCTATAATAAGTCATAAGTGATCTTTTAAAAACAAAAAACTTTACATCTTAACTGAACTGAAGATGCTGAGTATCCAACTGAAGAAAAAAATTAAAAAAGAGTGAAGTTGAAAGAAAAATCTGGAGGAATTCTGTAGCTCTTTTGAGATCAGATCAATGGAAATATTTGAATGTTAAAAATACATATTTGTTTTTTATTAATTCAAATAAAAATGTATTAATTAGAGCTTGGTAAACTTGATAAGCTTGTCAAAAGAGCTGGTTGCATTAAAGTATAAAGAATCCATGACAAAGTTAATTACCAGTACTTTAACTACTCTTTCTAGATAATACAGAGGGAAGGAAATTGTTTTTTTTTCATGAGCATCCACGACATTGATCTTTTGTTATATTTTAAGATTAACTCGTTTAATTAAAAGTTTGGCTGTTTAATTTTAGTTGTCGTCTATACCTGGTCTCGAATCAGTGACAGCACCTCAGTCAAGTTCATCAGCACCAGCCCCAGCATCTGTCACTGAAACACCAACTGCAGCACCACCACCACCAGGTGCTCCTACACCAGCAGCTACACCCATACAAAATGTAAGTATGGAGTCTTTAGGTCGATCCATTAACTCAACACATTAAAACTTCATTGATTTGCTTTTGCAATGCCCAGTATATTACATTTGTTATTTTTTAAATTATGAACTTACCGCCATTAATGCAATAAATGAGTTCACCTTAAAATGATTTTACAGGAACCTCCTCCAACACCAGTAGAGGAAACCAAACCCCAAAATACAGTTGCTCAAGATCCTCGATATGTGAAATTTTTCAAAATGTTAGCTTTTGTGAGTGTAGTTTTGTTCCTTTTTTTTTTTAAAAAGGAAAAAAGATATTTTGATTTGAATTAATTTACATTAAGAGATAATTGTTATATAATTAAATGGAACATTTTTTTAACCGGTTATTTAAAATTGATTTTAAAATTAAACTATTCATAATCACCCTTAAAAATATTTAATAATATTAAAGACTCGATAAATTACATCTATGCCTACTGAAATATTTCGTGAATATAGTTTTAGGAATTATAATTTAGCGTTGTTTTTTTTTTTAAACAAGTCATTAGGATCTTTCTAGTTTTCTTCTCTAATCTCTTGCCTTTGTGAATTGATTGCATGGCTTCTCGTGCTGATTATGCTGAGAAGATGTATTATTCTCTACTTATTTGTTACAGGGTGTTCCTCTGCCTGCTGTTAAAGGTAAAATGGCAATGGAAGGTCTAAATCCAGACCTGCTAGAGTAAGTTGCATTACATTATTCCTTAAAAACAATAATACAGTACTATAGGGGTAACAATCTTGTTAGTTCTTCTAAGATTTTATACAATTTAAGAAAAAAAAATATCAAATAAATTAACTGTTGAATTCTAATATTTTCATGCATAAAATTTCTAGAGTTGAGTTACGATTTCACCATTTCCAGTCTTGACAAATGCTAAGACCTTACTTTAATTTTGTTATTTCCACTTTAATTGATCTTAATGATTCCTTCTCTACACATTAGTTCTAACACTTAGAGCACCAGTGCTGATATTTTCCACTGATGATGAATTTTCTTTCCCAGCAACAAGCTCTTTATAGCTATTGGTTATGAAATTTCATAAAATAAAATAAAATTACTGTTATAGGTTGTAGTTGAAAAATAAATTTTATTTTCATTCAAAATTTAAATAGATGTTTCGAAGCACTATTTTGATGACTTTCAACTAGATTTTGGGGTCTTGAAGACACTGAAATAGTCTGGATTCGTTATAAGAATCTGTGGTTAAAATAATTTTAATAAATCCTGTATTACACTATACTTTGTAACGCTCTATATTAACTGACTACATTGGACACATTTCTGTTGCCTCATTGTTTGACAACTTGGTCATAGGTTAACCGACAACTTGGCCATAGGTTAACCAATGCCTCTTTTATAGCACCATGGGTTTTTTATATTTATATGCCTACATTTACTCTATGCTGCTTTCTTCCTCTTGGAGGTCTTTTGCGTGGTACACCTGGCATTATCTCAGTGTACGGGACGGCGACACACTTATAAATGTTGTTGTTAAGTCTTGTTTCTTAATAAAATATGTTACTCAGATCAGCTTGTAAGCTACAGAAGAAAACTTGGAGATCCACATGCAGCCCACAGGCCACAAATTTGAGACCCCTGCTCTAGACTCATATCATAAATTCCTATATATACATAAATTGCTTTTAATTTAAAACATTCTTATTTCCAGTACACCTGATGCTCCAGCTCCAGCGGGAAGTCAAGGTCCAGCTTCTGAAGACAGTGGTCAGGATTCAGACAGTGAAGCAAGCTTTAGTGATTAAATAGTGAACCAGATTCAAAAATACCATTTTTACCACTGGTTGAGCATTGTGATTGTTCTGAGCATTGGGCTGTAACGAGAGTGAAAAAATACTGAAGAATCTGATCAAAACCATCTTTACTTGACTTGTATGTATGCCACAATTTACCCAGGTTTGGGATCTTAACAAAATATAGTGATCATGACAAGTAACATTTACAGGGGAGTAGTCGATATTATTTGTTTACAGGACTTAAATGAAGATGGTCTTTTATAATGATCATGGTCCATGTGAAATTATTATTTAAATGAATGAGAAGAGCTGTGACAAAATCAGTGGTTCGTATAAAATTATTATTTAAAACAATGACAAAAGGCATGAGAGAATCATGATTGTATGTGACACGGCATGTAACGGAAAATTAGAAAACTTGTGATAACCTGTATATTGCATTGCATGTGTTTTCTGGTTGTTGCTTCTATGTACTTGTCAATGTTCTATCAACCAGATTTATTAAAGATGCATTTATTGAGAAACAGTATAAATACTACATCATTGTTCTTAACTATTGTTAATTAAAATACACACAAAAAATTGAAAAACATTTTTTTTTTTTATATATCATATCTTTGTTCCTCAATTTAAACAGTGGGGTTCCTATAAAACTTGATTTCATGAATCGGACATGACAGCTAGCCGGGCATTACAATAAGAAATATAAGGCCACCTGTAGGCTCCCACACTTATCACATTGCAACAGCTTTTAGCAAACATTTGCTTCCATCAGTACAGTATCACTCCTGCTGAATATATCCCACATCCCCCGGCCTGCTACATAATGTGCGTTCTCGATTGATATGACTTTATCAGTGGCATCCCACCGTTTTATTTTTAAGGGGGAAATTTTTTTACTTTTTTAAGAGGACTTAATAAAATGACATATACTTGTAACGTAAACATGTTTTTAAAAAAAATATGCTTCACTGAATGAATTAGTGTGATATAACATTGATTGAATGGCTCAAATGCTGGTATGGGAAATTCCTCTATAATATCTATATGATTAAAATTAAAATATAGAAATAATAAAATAATAAAGGCTTTGAACTAATGACTAGGATAAGCACATGTTGTCGCATGAGTTGGCATCCGATCTGTGGAGTCACAGAGAACTAAACCAGGTGTAGTGTACAGGAAATGTTGATGTTTACAAATCCTTACATTAATGTTTTGTACAAACACAGCAAACCATGATCATTTGTTTTTTAAATCAGAAAAATCTGGTTATCCTTGGAATATCCCAAGTGGTTATCCTCGAATATCCCTAGTTGATCAGGCTGTGTTCTGGAGGGGAACAATTCAAGTGTATTGAAATATTGATGAAAAAGTGATCAACTTTTATTCATTTCTTTTTTTCTTACTTGCCGATTTTGTTTGTTTTGTTAAATTTGTTAATGATTCTTGTAATGATCATAATAAAAATGTACCAGTATTCAGTACAAAATTGTTTTTAGAGTTGTGAGCAATGTTCCCTTTAAGCTGCGCAGCAGTTTTGAGAATCCCCGCAGCAAATTTCCATGTAAGTTTGTGTTTGTGGGCTGTAAAATTTTGCACACATCTGTATGATTTTGCCCATAAACCAGCAAACCTTAGAGGGAACATTGGTTGTGAGGTGTTATTTACTTGGTAAAAATTCAATGTTACTCATGTTACTAATTTTATTTCTGATTGTTGCATGGGCATCGCAATTATTTTTTTCTTAGACTGACAGCCACAATAGAAACAAATAAATTTCATCAGGTCTCAGCTTTTAAACTACTTGCTGCCTAATTTAAACTAGCGGCCTAATTCAAACTTGCTGTATAATTTAAACTAGCTGACTAATTTAAACTAGCAGCCTAATTTAAACTAGCTGACTAATTTAAACTAGCTGACTAATTTAAACTAGCTGCCTAATTTAAACTAGCAGCCTAATTTAAACTAGCTGCCTAATTTAAACTAGCAGCCTAATTTAAACTAGCAGCCTAATTTAAACTAGCAGCCTAATTTAAACTAGCAGCCTAATTTAAACTAGCTGACTAATTTAAACTAGCTGACTAATTTAAACTAGCAGCCTAATTTAAACTAGCAGCCTAATTTAAACTAGCAGCCTAATTTAAACTAGCAGCCTAATTTAAACTAGCTGACTAATTTAAACTAGCAGCCTAATTTAAACTAGCAGCCTAATTTAAACTAGCTGTCTAATTTAAACTAGCTGTCTAATTTAAACTAGCTGCCGAATACTGTTAAAACCTAGCCATAAATGGGATGCTTGTTTGTCCTTTGTACAAAGACTTTTCTTTCTGTCATTTTTGACATTGTAAACAACAGGGCTTATTGATATGTTCATACTGAATGTTGTCAGTAATCCATTAAGGGCTTGCATAACTTTGGTATTATGATAACTTTGGTAGTATGATAACTTTGTTATTATGATAACTTTGGTATTATGATAACGTTGGTATTATGATAACTTTGGTATTATGATTACTTTGGTATTGCAGTAACTTTGGTATTACCATAACCTTGCACCCTTGGCAGGGAAAATTAATTTGTTCAAAGAAAAAAAAGAAATATGGACTACCATCACTAGGAAAAAATTTTGGAGGAAAGAGCGCGGAATAGATTGGTTTCACTTTCATAATAATTATTTATTTGGTGGCTGCTACGGTTTTGGCATTATAATTATGGATTGAATGACTGCACCGTGACTTGAAAGGAAAAGACGTGACTTGAAAGGAAAAGACGTGACTTGAAAGGAAAAGACGTGACTTGAAAGGAAAAGACGTGACTTGAAAGGAAAAGACGTGACTTGAAAGGAAAAGACGTGACTTGAAAGGAAAAGACGTTTTATTCAGATTAAAAATTATACTATTTTTTAAAAAAATGGTTTTTATTGAATCTTTTTTTAAATAAGCGTTACTCAACTTACTGGAATCAAGTTGTGAAACAACAAACATGATTTTGGAACCACCCAGAATTGATAAAAGTAGGCTGTAGCCACTGTTTAAGTATATGTTTAGTGCACAGATCCTAGCTGGCTGTCAATGTGGATTACGACGGAATAGCTCAACCACATATCATTGATCATACTTTTTACTGTCAGATGTCTCCTGGAGAAATGCTACGAAAAAACAGCATCAACTATGCGTGGACCACGAAACAGCTTATGGTAGCGTAGACAGGGAATATCTGTATGCATATGATGCACATCAGCAAAGTGGAGCCTCTTCAACAAACGTACACAACTTACCGTATGCATATGACATGACGCTGGCTAACTCCGAAAGTATAATCAATTTACAGGGAGAGCATTCGATGGGGTTCCCGATTTATCAGGGCCTTGGACAAGGATACTCATTTTCATGTACCCTGTTCAACGTGACATTAGAAACAGTTACGAGTAACAGCAGCGATACTATATCACAAACTACTTCAAGAGAAATGTTACGGAACCACTGCCTTCAGGTGGCTTTAATAGCCAACCATTACAGGCAGTACCTGGGATATGCGGACGGTAAAGCGCTACTGGCCAGAAACAGAAATGATATAATTAAAGCTTGCAAGGAACTTGAATATGGCACACTTAAAGCTGGTCTTGAGGTCACTGAGGCGAATGACAAATAAATGGTAATGTTAGGAAACTCCCGTACCGGTGACAAAGTCAAAATAAGCATCCGGGTGACCTTTTTAAGAGAGTTGCCCCATTAATGAGCACAATGAAATAATTACAGAGGCGAAAGAAAGGATAACAGCAGGCAACCGCTCACATTTCAGTCTACAAATGTTACTGGGAGAACAAAGAAGGCCATACACACCACTATCGCAAGACCCGTTGTAAATGACAATACTGAGATTTGGTCCCTTAGGCTGCCAACATGTTCAATAGGTGCGGAAAATTCTCAGGAAAATATATATCCCGGTAGTAAATGGAGAATCCGCACAAACCAAGAGATATATCAATTGTTCAAACACCTATACACATGGTCGAGACAATTTTAAAATACAGACTGCGCTGGACAGGACACCTTGTGTACCGGCACCTCGAATTATAGGGCAGGAAAAGGGATCTACAGGCGGAAAAGCCATGGATCATTCCGAATGGAAGGATGTGGTGGAGCAGGTCAGGGCCCCACATGGGTTGTAGGGCCACTGTTGATGATGATAATGGCTGAACGGGTTTCTTCGTAAACAAAATAACATCAACTTTAACTCATCAAAAATACGAGGCCCTCGTTGATTTTTTTTTAAAAAACTCACATAGCACGAAAAAATAACGTTTAAAGGACAAAGTCTGGCGGAATTTCGGCTGCTTTAGCAAGGTGAACTCAAATGATTGTCTGAGCTAGAAATATGAATAGTGCTGCCTAAACGAAGTGTCGCCGTAAAGCGGGGTCCCTCGCATCTGCAGCTTTGCTATCACATCAAAGAAGCCACGCCAATGCAGAACCAAACACTCGCGTGTATCATTGATCAATCGAACCTATAGAAAAGAAAACCGAACCAAACAAAACAAAAACCCCCCAAAAAACTATAACCAGGTGTGTCTCATTAAACGTAGAAACTTTATGTTATGACATGTTATTTAATGAACCCCCAACCCCCCCCCCCCCCACACTTTTTTTTTTTCCAATGGAAACTAATTATAAAAGGGGCTCCGCGAGTCAAAAAGATTGGGAACCACTGACATAGAAGGGGAAACAAATCGCATGTGTTCAAAAATATGATGAACTACTGTATCAGATCTAGATAATAAGACAGCACTCAGTTCCGCGGGTCAGTCTGCCTCTCGTGGTTCACTGGGATACACCACCAGAGGTGTTCATACCGAGGACATATTTACGTTATTATTACATTTCAATTTGTCTTTTTAAATTATTTCGCCGCGCAAGTCTTTGACGGACTCGTGAGTTGTTGCCCTTTTCAAGGTTTCACGAAACCCGCACTTTGTATCCACTCCTGTATCCATGCTGTCATCACACGACCACGACTGTCGCTCAATAACCGCACTTTGTATCCACTCCTGTATCCATGCTGTCATCGCACGACGACGACTGTCGCTCAATAGCCGCATTTTGTATCCACCCCTATATCCATGCTGTCATCGCACGACGACGACTGTCGCTCAATAGTCGCACTTTGTATCCACTCCTATATCCATGATTTCATCGCACGACGACGGCTGTCGTTGACTCTTAAAGGAAACAAGACAAGTTCCCCTTGCTATAAATAATTATGTCGGGATATGTAAATGAGTGGCCTATTAAAACATGACCTCATCACACCTATGTTCTAGATCAGATCCATTTTTTTTTTTAAAAAACGTGGATACTTTGTCACGGGGCCTTTAAGGGGCGCGGTGCCCTAAAAGATGCGGGGCCCCCTTAGCTATCGACACGTGCCTCATTTGCCTTTAGGTTAATCCGGTACTGATAGCAGTATAGGCATTTGATCCGATGTTGATTTTTTTTGTCCCCACCACGACAGACTCCACAATTTGTTCTGTTTAAAGCAGTGTTCTATAACTAGCGATGGCGAGTCACGTTCAAGGCAACTGTGGTGGTGTTTAGCTTCGATGCTTCAGCCTCAACTCTCAGGGAGACTCTTCCCTATTCGACTAACTTCTCAATAAAATAAACTCTTCTCTTTGTTTAAGAAAAACAAACCAAAAAAAAAAAACCATGTAAATATATTATTTGAAAAGTTTACAATGTGCTTAAAGAAAAAAAAATATTTCATATGTTGTGGCGTGATTGTCCTATTTTCAATAAAATAAACTCTTCTCTTTGTTTAAGAAAAACAAACCAAAAAAAAAAAAACCATGTAAATATATTATTTGAAAAGTTTACAATGTGCTTAAAGAAAAAAAAATATTTCATATGTTGTGGCGTGATTGTCCTATTTTTTGATAGTGGCGAAACACCTACGCGTACACTTAAATATTTTTGTAATTTTCGTCCGCGCTACAGTACCTAAATATAGCCTGCCTATGCGCCTGAGAATCTGAATCTTGAATGACGAAAATACATTTTTGAAAAGAAATCCCCTTTTAAATGTGCCGACATTTTGAAAACGTACTTGCTCAGCTCCCCGAATTACCAAACCTTCCAATCGATATCAGAGAGTGGAAAGGATCTGCCCTCAAGAGGCACCGTAGATTTAGTTTGCCAGGGAACAGAGACCCATGCTGTGCAAGGTTCTACCCCCGCTGGTATTCGAGATGGCTCCTGGATTTTCAATTTCACCCTTTGAAAAGGGCGATTAATGTCTATGCTTCATTTGAATTCTGTTAAGGGGTAGTGGCGAAGGCTGTAGGATGAAGTAAGACTGTAGCAGGGCAGTGAAGGCGATGTTCCAAAATAAGACTGTAGAAGGGAAAGGCCTTATATCTGTGGCGCAGCGATAAGCTAACAAAAATAAGCTTATACGACTGTGAAAAGAAAGTGCGATGGCTGCGGTGCAGTGGTAAGCTGTGCAATAATGTAAGATTATACGGCGGTGAAAGGAAAGGGTGATGGCTGTGACGCAGCATTCAGCTGTACAACAAAGTAAGATTATACGGCTGTGAAAAGAAAGTTTGATGGCTGTGACGCAATGATAAGCTTGTACAATGAAGTCAGATTATACGGCTGTGAAAAGAAAATGCGACGAATGTGACGCTAGACATAGACACGTGACGCTAAAGGAGCGTTCCATGACCTTCAATCAACTCAGTTTCAATCATGGAAGCTTTCACAATCACCGATGCGGGTTCCGGCAAAAAATAAAAATAAAAAATATCTATATATATAAGAATAACACAAACCAAGTAATAAAAACATAATTATATCAGCGGCCCCCCTAACCTGATTATATCAGTGGTCCTTAGCACGATTACACCGGTGCTTAATCCCCAACCATGATCCGTGTTATCGCCTCTAAGAACCATCGCATATAATATTATGTGTGTTGTGATCTTAAGCGGTGTTTTTTGTATAGTGAGGAAACCTTCAGCTTTAAGTTTACAAAACCAAGGACCAAAGCTGTAACCTTTCCATCACTGCCCTCAACTCAACTAGTTGACAATGTTGCCCTCAACTCATCTATTTGACAATGTTGCCCTCAACTCATCTATTTGACAATGTTGCCCTCAACTCATCTAGTTGACAATGTTGCCCTCAACTCATCTATTTGACAATGTTGCGATTGTGAAATGTGAGACATATTGCTGGGGCGGCCAACTCAACATTTTTTTTTTTTTTTTGCGTTTAGGGGGGAGGTAGGAGACTTTGTTTAAATTCGGGGGGGGGGGGCAACCTAAGGCCCGCGGGCCTCACACAGCCCGCTGAAACTTTTCAACCCGGCCCGCACGATCTTCCGGGAACTGGATAATGAAATAATAATACTAATAATTTTTTTTTTATTTTTTTTTTT